TTTTTTTTTTTTTTTTTTTTTTTTTTTTTTTTTTTTTTTTTTTTTTACGTGACGAAATGTTTCTTTTGTGTGAGCGACGAGTTGCGCAAAATAATTTGATCTCGCATATTAAAAAATTTTGCTCTTGTTCACTTCTTTTCATCTTTCTTTTTAATACTGCACGTTTCGTACATTGATTTCGTTGTGTTCGCGGTTTGTATCGCGCTTAATATCTTTACAACGTTCTGTATCGATATCTATCTGGTATTTTTGTAACGTTCTTCGCAGCATTTTATATTTTATGAATTTTAGAAACTCCACTGGATTTGCAGTTTTACTTCCATTAAAAATTAGTCGTGAAAGAAAAGGTCTTAGTAAGAAATTAGTACAGAATCTTTTAAAAGTGTATTTAAATTTGTTACTGGAGATATAAAAAATTGTCACAAAAGATTAATATAAAGAATTCTGAAAGTGTAAATTTGTATGTAATTATTTTTCTTGACTATTATATAAGTATAAAACATCATTCGCGTAGAAATAATATTATTTCATAGTAACAATAAGTATTTAACAAGATTTCATATTGAAAAGATAATAAAATTTAATGCTTTTTCATTAAAAATGTTATATGAAACGTAAACTTGATATTGATATTTATTATGTCAAATAATTCTGAACGAGATGAACACTACTTGCTTCAGGATTTATTATATACAATCTAATATATTATTTAATAATATTATTAAAAATTCCACGTTATTTGATACTTCGAACGTTTTAAAAAATAATTATGTATATATTATGCAAAGAAAAATAAAATGCGCAATTCTTCACGTTCAACAAATGTCTAAGGCCAGCACTCGACAGCACTAATTGAAAATATTCAAATTTTAACAAAATGAAAACTCTTCAGCCAAATCGGAGACTCGTTCGCGTTCGCTGAAAACGTTTCGTATCTTCTCTCTCTCTCTCTCTCTCTCTCTCTCTCTCTCTCTCTCATCTCAGTAATTAATTATGTAACTGTCGTTCATCCAATGCAGCCATCATTCGAAACGAATTTATTTATAGTTCAATCGTCAATCGATGCTTTTGGCTCCCTACGTATGTGTGCATATACATGTATGCGTCTGTGTAAGTGTACGAACGTATGCGGAAGATAACAGAAGAAGAAAAGAAAATCAAAAGAAAAGTATTAAGACTCTGTTACCTTTCTCCAAATTATTTAGAAGAGGAAAAAGAAGAAGAAGAAGAATAGATCAAGTGTGTTTTGAAAGAAAGCGGAAGACAAAGGGAAAGGGGAGAATCATTGTACATAGTCCGCTATTCGCCATTTTCTTCCTCTCTTGTAGAATTC